ATGTGTTCAAGCTGTATGGTATCCTTGAATCGATTCTCTCATACAGAGAAACTCAATTTTGAAGAGCATTTTGTCAGTCTCTAAATATATCCGTGGATCTCTCCACTGCCTTTCATGCTCATACCAATGGGCAAACTGAGAGAACAAACCAGACCTTGGAGACTTATTGTAATGGCTACCCAGCTGGAGAGGGGTATCAGCCGTTGGAGACGTCCTTTTCTAGGCAAGCTGCTGTGAAGTAATGGAGTTCTTATTCCCATCCACGATATCCAAGTGTATAATCCGGCAGTGCTGTAAAATGAGGCAGAGTAACGGTACCATAAATCCCCTCCAAGAACGAAACAAGGCTAAGTTTTGAAGGGTCAAGTAGAACTGATGTTTATTGACAGGGGTCTCCTTTTATGCAATGGTGCCCTCTGAAAGGCTATACACACATAATTCATACAACAGCCAATTAGATATATGGTTCAACCCCCACGTCTCTTCTCCTCTCGGGCTCCGTTCGTGCATTAAAACCCCGCGAACCCCTTGCCATCCACAGGCATCCTGGTGTTCGCTTGAATCCCTATGAAAGCTTAAACAAAACTACCGAACGGCTGGTCGTTCAGTAGTTCCAGCACGAACTTACGAGCTCCTGGAGGTCTCAGCGGTGTTCGCCTGTTTGCGTATCCATTTTTGGTTCCATGCGTTCACAGGCAAACACCGCCGTTCATGCGTAAGATGGCCGCGAACACGTGTAAAGTCCCGAAATGGAAGCCATCTAACCTGAGCACAAAGGAATTCGTATGAACCATGCGAAAGGCTCCACAAGCGCAGGGAGGTAAAATATCAATTAACTGTTCCCCTGGGTGGTCCGATGTTCGGTATTTTGGGCTGTATTCTATAGTAGGAATATTTCCACAAAAAATAGCCATTCGGTTTTTGTGTGATACATCCAGCAGCATTGTTATTTAAGTCCAGGCAAAAAGCATGGGCAAAATCATAGTTCTGTTACACTGCTCCCCTTTTGTGGAACACTCCGGCAGACCCGGATTGATCCTTTTCGGGTCAACTTGAGGCTGTCCGGTCTGGGGTCAAGGTAAAAGTTCAGTTTGCCTGGACAGTCCGTCTGCATTCCCATTGAACCGGCCATGGCGATACTGAATGGAGAAGTTGTATGGTTGTAGCGCCAAGCTCCATCTTAGTAATCGTCCATTGTCCCCAGCCACTCAGTTCAACCATACTAGGGGGTTATGGTCTGTGATCAAAGTGAATTCCTGACCGTACAGGTATGGTGTGAGTTTCTTTAGAGCCCAGACCAGGGCTAGACACTCTTTTTCCACTGCCGCGTAGCTCACTTCACTGGGCAATAGTTTTCTACTCAGGTACGCGACAGGGTGTTCCCCTCCATCTTCCCCGACCTGGCTCAGAACTGCCCCCAGTCCGTACATGGACGCATCTGTATGGACGACAAATCTTTTGTTAGGGACGGGGGCAGACAAAACCGGTGAGTTGATCAGGGCTTGTTTCAGGGTTTGGAACGCTGTTTCGCAGGCGGGAGACCACAGGACTACTCTAGGCAAATTTTTATTTGTCAAATCTGTCAGGGGTTTAGCGATGGCGCTTTAGTCAGGGACAAATTTCCTGTAATATCCCGCAGTCCCCAAGAATGCCAGTACTTGGGTCTTGGTGAGGGGTGTGGGCCAGTTGGCTACAGCTTCCAACTTAGCGGGTTCTGGTCGTTGTTTCCCACACCCTACCCTGTGTCCCAAGTACTGTACTTCGGCCATTCCGAAATTACATTTCTCTGGTTTCAGAGTTAGGCCTGCGGCCCTAATCTGGTCCAACACAGCCTCTACATGTCTTAAGTGCTCTCCCCAAGTCTCACTATAGATCGCAATGTCATCCAGGTATGCGCACGCGAATAGCCATTCGGTTTTTGTGTGATACATCCAGCAGCGTTGTTATTTAAGTCCAGACAAAAAGCATGGGAAAAATCATAGTTCTGTTACACTTATCTTAGTTGCTACACCACGCACATACAGTCCAACTGGAAAACCCTGCTCACCACCGTTGAATTTGCCTACAACTCAGTATGACTCAAATCACTCTTCACCATTCCTTCTGAATTACGGACTTCTAACCCACTTCACTGCTCGTACTGCCTACCTTCACCACTGTTCCTGATACCTCTGCTCTTGTTACTAACCTGTCACAAAGATTTCTCCATGCCTAGAAAACATTGCAGGAGAGTCATGCTCTCTACAAATCCTATGTTGATCGCCACGGAAGACCTACTTCTTCCTACCAGATAGGCCACCAGGTTTGGCTATCCACTAAACATTTGAAACCCCCTTGCCCTTCCAAGAAATTTGTCCTAAATATGAAGTACAAGTGATCCTGGACTCCCGTATTCGATAAGGTATCCTCAAATATCTGATACATTGGAAAGGTATCAGGAGATACATTGGAAAGGTATCAGGAGAAGACAGGTCCTGGGAGCCAGTGAGGAACATCAATGCTCCACATCTTCTCAGAAGATTCCATATCCAACACCCTTCTCGTCCTGGTCCCAGTATTTTCCAGACG